CACTAGTGGGGGAATTTTGTCTGAGAATTGTGGGATCCAATGGGCATAGTACGCCAGCATCCCCACCACTCCACTTTGAGAAGCAATGCCCTTCGGAGGAAGTAGTTCCCTCGAGGCTGAGAATCGTTCGGGGTCTGGCTTGGTTGAGCCTTTGGAAACTTCGTACCCGAGAAGAAGAATTTTGTTAGTTCCAATTACACTCTTGTGTTAATTGAACGTTATACCGTGCTTCTTAGCGGCATTCATGAAGTTGCGGAGACTTCTATCATGCTCTTCCGGGTAACGACCACACACTAACGTTGTCCACGTGCGTGAATGTATCTTGTAGGTGTTCTTTAGTGATGGTATGTTGAAAGTAGGCCACTCCGTTCGTGACCCCGAATGGAATGCGGCAGAACTGATCTTGTGTACACCGGTTGAACGCACCTTTGGTAGTGCTCAGATTCGCGGGATGAGATCCGCCGCAGGTTTGATTCCTTTGAATTGTTTCTTCCACTGAGTTTGTTGTTTTTTGAGTGCTGTGGGCTTTTTAATCAACCTCTTACGTAGAATTTGTTTAGGTTTACTATAACTGGCTGATATGCCACAAACGTGTTGCGGTTAGTAGCATTTACAGAACATCGAATCATAGCATTGATTCTCCATTAGACTGGCTCCGAAAGAGCTGTCTATCCAATGGTCACCCAGTGTTGCAAACAAGGTTACTGTGACGGATATATATGTGTGATTTCCGGAAAAACTGATGTTATTCCTAATCTAAAGGTGACTGTACGAAGCTGGGATGTGAATAAAATAAGTTTTTATAATAAATCCAACTCGGTGATTATTGTTTTGAAGAGGTGGAGATTGTAAGTAAGAAGGAAAATTAACAGACATTTAGGCTATTCTCGGAAAAAAGAAGGATTTTGAGCAAGCCGTGCGAGACCCGGACACACTTGACGGGGATTACTGAATGTCTAGGTTCTGGAAGGGAGATGAAATATAAGAGAGACCTATACAAACTGGACAAGCTGGGATGATGCAAATTCAAAGTAATGAAGTTAGAAGGAGAAAAGAAAAGCATCTACCCGACGATTGTCCAGCGAAATCAAGGTGAAACTTTAGGGAGAGACATTTCTAAACCGCCGTACCACGCTTTGGTTGTGGTCAAGCAGATAGTGTGTGAGAAGAGGAAACACCACTTGATAGTTAACTACAGTATTCGAAGATGCGGCGCATTTATGCCTCATGCAAAGTTCTTCGGAATGAGGGATCACGAAATAAGAAACCGGTCTTGCGTTCAGCACAAGAAGCTGGCGAGTATATGTAAGGAGTCGACGAAACAGCAAAATGATGAGAAAGATCTCCGGGAGAGCACAGAATTTAGGGTTTGTGAGGGATGCTATCAAAATGCGATATGAAAGAAATGTAGATGACTTCCAGTGACAGATATTAAAAAATCCTGAATGTATTTTATTATGCATTATGTGGATTACAGTAAACGGGGAAATCTTAATAATCAAAGAGCATACTGTAGACGGGAGATAAGGGGAAAATTCACGTAAAACCCGGCTTATTGATAGAAAAGATCACGGTTGGTAAAATACAATATGGCGATATGTCCTGGGTCTGGTGTGAATGGCGCAATGAGAGTGCATAGACCTGTTTTACATATTCATTTGAAGTCAAGTATTGTGTTACATGCTCAAGTTTTCTTTGTTTACCTCTTTCATTTGTGTTCTAGGTAAAGCTTGCGGCTGGTGCGTTATCTAAGTTCCCCCATACAATGGAACCCTATTTACGCCAGCTTGGCCTGCCAGTAAAACTCGTTCGGGGGATTGTTCATCTAACCGAAGAGTTCACGGTCTGTCAAAAAGACGAAGCACTAAAGCCGGAACAATGTCGCATTCTGGTGAGTATCAACTTAACAGCCGTTGGTGTGTTGTCTAACCGAGTTCGCTGCATGTCCTATTTCGCCGTTCCTGACTAATTTTGTCATAGACTAAATACTGGAGAACACACTAAGTGGTCTCCAAAATGTTGATATTCACTGGAAAGCTGGTGAAAAGCTGTACGTGTTAGAGTACGCTGGCGATATATTTTGCCTGTTCGAATGTATGGAGGATGCACAAAGTGAACTTGACATACTAGCAGGTTCTGTTGCTCTGTTCGGCATGTACTTTGCACCTTCAAAGTAAAGTGATGCTGCAAGACTGGGTGTCGCCGTGTTCCGTTCTGAAACTAGACGGTCAACATTTAGCTGAAGTTGACTGCTCTTCGCACTTGGGTAGCTGCGTGACCAACGACGGTAGCGCATCAAAGGAGATAATCGCACACATTTCCAAGGCTCGAGCAGCGTACGCATAACTTAAACACCTGTGGCGACGACGTGACATTTAAAAGTTGCACATACTGCGCCACTGTATGATGCTTTGAGTTTGTGAGACCGTGAATTTGTGGATAAAAGACATCCGTCGCGTAGTGGTTTTCGACAGTCGGTGCTTAAGTAGTCTTGCCCAGGTTGGATGAGGTGAGCGAGTTAGTAGCCCAGAAGTCAGTTTGGCAAACAAGCTCGTTTTTAGTGCCTCATTTACTAGCCAACTATAGCACTTTTCTGGACCAAAAAAATCGCAATCCAAGGAAACATAAACAACGTAAATAATGTCTGTGTTTGTATGCCTGTGTATGGATACTACGGATAATACAGTAAGGGGTGTATGAGAGTTTAAATCATTCTGTAAATGTTATTTGTATTGTCCGATGAATCAAGTGCATAAACGAGTTTGTTTGCGAACTTGAGTGCTTGATGCAGTACACAGGTATTTTCCAGTATCCTAGAGGTCTTCGGGTGTTTAGAAATGCATTGAACGAGAACTGGCTGTCGCATCGAATCCAGTTCAATATGCTCAGTAGGTGAGAACACGTTTTGCGTATGTCCGACAGTTATCTACCTCAGCGCGCTTTATTCGCAGTGGCCGCTGCAGACTAAAGGAAGCTACGTGGTGGCCAACAGATGACACGGGGCATGAAGAAGTGCACAGAGGGTTTAGGTAGAGTAGGTGTCTCTCGTCGATCTTGCTGTCACTTCTTGTCATACCAGAATGCTTGAAATAGTGCGTCTGTACACTTGGATTGTAAAATCTGTGTGTTGTTCGTAGAGTTCCGCTTTCTTTCGCCGTTCCTCGAAATAGACCCAATCCCTCCTTACACATTCTCATTTGAATACATTATGAGTTTGGCAGCGATCAGAGAAGTTCGTTTCACTGTATTACACTGTGCGACGAGGATGATGATAGTGATGTATACCTTGGTTCGGCATAAGTAATTCAGTTTTTTTTCTTTTCATTCTACATCCTTTCGTTGAATATATAACGATACACTTTTAAAGAGGAATTAAGTGGTCAACCGAAAGACTCACGCAGAATGGGTGAAGTCAGGT